AAAAGATTCTGGTCACGGCTTGGTGGTCATCGGCTGGTGTGATCCACTAGCACCAGAACCATCACAGCAGAGTCCTACTGTGAAGAAATCGACGAAATGTACCGAAAATTGCGTCAGCTGCAGCCAGCACTTGTCAACAGAAAGGTCCGATTCTTTTGCATGACAACGCCCGCCCACACGTTTCACAAATCACTATCCATAAATTGAACGAATTGGGGGTTGAAGTTCTACCTCACCCGCCATATTCTCCAGACCTTTCACCAACCGACTATCACCTTTTCAAACATTTTCAGAACTTCCTTGCTGGAAAATACTTCATCAATCAGGACCAGGCAAAAAAGCCTTCGGGATTTCGTGGGTTCTCGACCACCCAGTTCGTTGCTTGGAGTCACATTGGCAAAAGTGTGCTGATTCGAACGGTGCTTATTTCGATTAAATCCGATGAGTATTAAAAAAGTTATGATCGTTTAAAGAAAACGCTGAGAACTTTCCGGACAACTTAATAGAAGCATCCATTTGTTTTCAAATACGCCTACTTGAAATGGTACACAGAAAACAGATTTTTCGCCAAGCTCGCAGTTTTCCCCAATTATTCTCAACGCATTTATCTCATAAATCCTGGTTACTTCAATAAAAAGTTAGGTGGTTTTTGCGAAGAGGAGATCATCTGCTTTTGTTCAGATACCCCAGATCCTGTCCTGTGGGTCTAGAAGTGTTCCAAGTTTGATTTTCCACTTTCATTATCTGAGATAGTGTTCAGTGATGTAAGGTGCTAACAATAAGAAGAGGGAAGCTCTTAATTTTAGTTTTTGCTTTTCTCCCACAAATATTTCGGAAAAAAATGCTTGAAGAACGAACCTGCCCTTCTAACGCAGGTAAAGAGTCAAAAAACAACAAGTCGTGAAAAAAGGGGGAGTTGAACTGACCCTCTATGAGGGATGGAGGGGGGAGGGGGAGGTCGCATGGACTCTGCCAAAATCCCCAACGCATGATTGACTAATTGTGCACAGCTTCCAACCGATGCCTCATTTCGGACGTTTTTGACGCATTCTTGCGCTTTTTCTTGACGAAAGAAGAACCAGCATATGGAAACCTGTCATTTAAAGGCAGTTGGCACAATGGTTTCCTACTTAGCCTAAAATGCTAGTAGGGCGCTGTATAGTGGGGAAATGGCGAAAGAACGGAGTGAAACGGTCAAAATCCTGCGAAGAAAAACCTCCGTTCTCAGTGACTTAGTAAATCGATTTCGGACGAGTTTCCGTAGTCATGCTTACCAATCACGCTACCGAAGTAGGTGCTATGTGTACCCATATATGCATGCAGCATCACGGCCGCTTCATACCAATCCCTTCGCTTCATAATTTGCTTAGCAAATGAATGAATACGAGCGTCAGGAACGGTCGTCCATTTGTGGGCGGGCGGGCGTGGCGGGCGTTGGGACGTTGTGGCTTGATAGGGCCCTTATAAGGGCACCTTCCTCGGGGAAACCGCTATGCAGCGCCTGCCCAGGGTCGCGGAATTCTATCCTGCCAGGAGTATTGATCCTAGTCGTCTTGGAGGGATTTATCGTGCCAACTGCCTTTAACCCCATCACCCACAACTTGCAATGGTGAGATGCGTCTTTGAATACCGTTCCTGAACCTCTTGCAAATAAATCACATGAAATGAACAGGAGTCATGAGTCAATCAAACCTTTCAGAATGTACGGTCAAGAAGGAGACAATGCAGTCCGATGCCATGAAAAAGAAACTCATTGTGAATTTATCAATATGAAGAATATAAAAATCCCACTGACTCGAATATCTTTATTAATTCTTCTAATATGTATAATATTAACAGATATAAAATAAATACAAATCAGTTCTGCTCTGATAGCAGTGTTCAGGCTGATGTTCTTGCTACACCCATGTGCCCAAATCTTTTGACCATCTTCTGTGCGACTTCTATTGGGAACGGGACCACAATTGTGTTGTTCCTGCAACGACAAATATCACTTGGTGAACTGCACATAAATTTCCTTGCTGGGGATTAAACAAGGATAATTTTCATTCGTTTTTTTTTGTTTCTGCTTCATAGGTCAAGACGATGGTGGTCATTGTTGGCCAGTAATACGGTGGGCGGCGGGCCAGTCATGCTTGAGTGGCAAGTGGTTTGGTTTTTGCCGCCCAAACATGATCTCATGGGGGTATAACAATCCCACTGTTTTTGTTGAGTACGTTCGACTAATAAATATTCTTCTACTGCCAACTCTCCCAACTGCTTCCGGATTCAACAGTTTCGTTGATTATTTTAGTGACCTAGTAAATTGCCCTGGAAATTTGCATACTTTTGCGCGTTTTTCTCAACACTTAAGCAAGAAAAATAACTGTCATAGAGTAAAATGTTATCGGCAAAATCTATTTGTGATTCCTTTCGATCAACCACGCATTGTAAGTTGTAGAACGAGTACTCAGACCTTTTCACCCTTCACAAATTTTACCAATAGCAGTAGGACAACAGTAGTTTGGATGCCGCGTTATGATCTCTCGTCTGCACCCTCTTGCCGAAATAGAATACTAAGTAGACTCGAAGAGGTTGCCGCAATATTTCAAGAACGGAATCAACTGCAAATAGAAAAATGGCGACCATGACTGTGACGACAGGCTGAGCCACAGCCATTGTGGAAATCACAACAGAAAGGGGTCGTATTCACCACGAGGGAGGGATGGGGGAGGTTCGCAAGTAAATGCAGGGGAATTACAGTATACGCTCGGCCCCTCTGAACCGCAGGACCACATCTGGTTGCGCGGAGCAACCTTATTCGGGGTTACTATTTTCGTGTCTCTCCGATTTCAGAAACACGATGGAGAATTTTTTAAACAGGGGCTCAGGAAAAGATGAGTGGACCCTTGGAAGTGGAAGTATACTAGATTCCGGCACTTTTTTATTCTACGCAAAAGGTCACATGAGAGAAAAACTG